ACTTAAAAATGAAAGAACTAAGACCTACATAACACTAAAATAAGAGAAACTCAGAAAATTCAACAAACACATAATCAAAACCTGCAAAACTGGAATAAAAGAAGAAATAGCAAAAAGCCAGAGACTGTGACACGTCAAGGCTTTAAAAATGTTTTGTTGGCATTAAAATGAAACAGAGACTATGTTTCCCTTTCCCTACATTTTAAACTCCTTATTTCTTCACCCATCATGTCATCTTTGGGATTTCACAGCAACATAGAAGTTTGAGCACTGAGTGAGCAGGTGTTGCTATCTTTGAATGAATCGTGAGCTTTTGTGAGCTGAAGGTGAGGGTTAAGTTTCTTTTGTACCTCGGATATTACGGCTTTGTTTGGTGAGCATGTTGCTTTTAACAGTAGAGATTGAGGTCTTTGGAGTCTCTTGTATTATCATAATCATAAATATTTAACAGGAAAAATGTGTTTCCCCTCAGATGTTGAGTTTCGTGGCTCTCAAACAGCAGCTTGAATAAACAGTGTGTCTTACTGAGTTTTCTTCAATGGGAGTTTTAGAGTGCAGTGCACCTCAGAGCATATTACACTCACACCGACGAGCTCAAGAGAGTTTACTGTAGTCTGAGTAGGCACTAGTGCAAATACAGTACAGCATGTGGTGATATGTGACATTTATATTTAGGCGTGTGCATTAAACATCATCTTTTTCATCTTTGTGACAAAAAATGATCTAAAAAGCAGATATTTGCTGTCAAAGTCACGACGCATCCCTGTCTGGTGGCTGATTTCTCACGCCAACATTTCAGTCTGATCATGTTGTGCCAGCAAACTCTTTGTTGGGAATATAAGCAAAGTGTCTCCGTGTGCACTGATCAACCAGCGAGCAAAGGCTTCATTATGTGACAGGGTTCAGCCGACGGCGGCCTGTGGCTGCTCATAAATGAACCGACTGAACCACGAGATTCAAATGAACACAAATTATATTTCTGCTCATGCTGAAGCTGAGAATGTGACCCCGTTCACCTGCAGAGTCACAGATAGTCTCGCAACACGTCTTGATTGTGACTGAAAGGAAAATAATAATGATGCGCTCCCCCACCGAGGATACAGAGGGCTGCATGAAGCACAGTGACACGGCTCTGCAAGGATGACAGGGAGACAGCATCAGTCTCGACGGGACAGCAGTGTGTATGAAATGATTCTGCATAATCTATTCGACAACACTTCAAAGAATATAATTGATTAGAGCATCTGTTCTTATTAGTGTTTACTATTAGCTATTAATATGCAAACTATAAACTTTAAATATGGTTTATAAACTATTAAAAAGGAGGCTTTTTGGTGGGTCTTGGTTCTGCCAGTAGGGGGCAGTGCAACAAAGCTGATCCATAGTTTTTGCAGCTTCAAAGACACATTTACAGTCTGTGTCTGTGTTTGACTTAAAGCTTCAGTTGTAACCAGTCAAACATCTGTGTGAAGGACTCGTTTACATCCTGGATTCTCTTCTGGCTTTTCACAGGAAGCCCGTCCTTCTGTTGAGACTTTCTGAACTTACCTAAAAGTTAAAGATTTGAACTGCAAGGATTGTTTTCGATGCTGCAGCTACTGTAGAGGCTGGTCACGGTCCAACAGACAGCACACACAATTGCAAAGCTGCACCTGCATCTACTCTGAGACCTGCAAACACTTTGCAAACAGTAATTAACCTTTAGAAATGAGAAATAGCTGCTGAGAAGCTTATTTACAGATTCTCTGTTTTGATGCCAGGAGGCATATATGTGATTTTGAGAATATTTCATTTAGTAACCAAACATCTCTTTGGACAGCAGGTTGATTTAAAAGAAAACAACACATCACGCTGCCCTACAGCACATTTTCAAACCCTTTATTGTCTTAAAATTGAAACAGAGTCATGTGACATCAACAGAAACATGTTCATCAGTTTGCAAAAAACAAAATCTTTAAAAATGCACCAAAGTCTTGGCAGTTTTTTGTCATGTTTATTTGTTTCTGTAAATATCATGTGCTAGATTAGATTTAAGCTCGTGCAAAAGACATAACTCAAAGTTAATCTCTCCCGTCTGTTTACATCACAGCCATGTGGTTGGACTGTTTTTAATTGTTCCAAAGCAACAATAACAAAGTTGAAGCTGCTGCTTCTGTGTGTTCCTGTTCTTCACATCCAGTTTTCCTGTCTGAGCTTGTGGCCTGCACACACTCACTGTGTTAGCAGCTCGTTATTATTCCATCTGTCCAACATGCTGCTGTTGGCGTAGATATCACAGTAACCACGATCGTGCTTGAAACAGCGCAGCTGTAAGTGCAATACTATCCACCACTTTATCACTGCCGCTGTCAGCTGTCAGCACGTCTGACACGATCCAGGGGAGTGAGAGTAAAATATCCTGAAATCATATCCCGATGTTTATTTGACTGGGATCCAGTGTGACTCTGTTCCAGCATTACTACGCTGCCCTTCCTGATAGTGACAGTGAATTTATTATACAACAATCATATTATGCCTCGTCCTGGCCAGGTTCTTTCATGAGATTTAAAATATTAGATATGACCATAGCTGTAATGGTGGGGAGGAGTTTTTGAAGATATTGGTTTCTAAATTGGTCTATAAAGCTCTGAATGGTTTAGGACTAGGGATGCACCGATACCGATACTGGTATCGGTATCGGGGCCGATACTGTAAAATGTGTGTGTACTCATACTCGTAAAAGTTAACCGATACCACGAACCGATACCAACTTATTTCTTTAATCAGAGGGTGGCTTGTCATTTCTGTTGTAGTTTTTTAGATTGGCCACTAGGGGGCCAATTATTATTTTACTTATCATTTATTTAATAATTTTTTATATTTTATTATTTGTTTAATAATAATTATTTTGTTTGTTTGTTTACAATATGGACACTCTGCAATAATTTAAAAGTTTATTT